CAGTGAATTCTGTTATGCAATGCTGGCATTCTCAGGTTGATTGAATAATTCCAACACCCCCTCTCAAGATGGAGGATGTCTCTACAACTCCAAGCTTGTCTCTCAAAAACAGGAACCTTGAATGTGAAAGTGGTTTTGTCAACAAATCCACCGTCTGGTTTGATGAGGGTCTATAGTCAATTACTAATTCTCCCCTCAGCACTTTGTCTCGCACAAAGTGGACATCAAGCTCGATGTGTTTAGTGCGTGCTTGATAGACTGGATTTGAAGCCAGTTCTTTTGCATTTAGATTATCGCACCAAATTCTTGGAGTAGTGACCCGTGAGATTTTGAGTTCTTTTAATAAGGACTGAATCCACGAAATCTCATATGTACCATGAGCTAATGCTCTATATTCTGCCTCGGTACTGGACCTAGCCACAACCTGTTGCTTCTTGGAGCACCAAGATATCAACCTATCCCCAAGATATACACAGTAACCTACAGTCGACCTTCTGTCATCTGGACACGAAGCCCAGTCAGATTCTGCATATGAATTTATGTCTAGGCTGTCACTTTTATGAATGGCAAGACCATGTTTTATTGTTCCTTTCAAGTACCTGAACACCTTCTTTAAGGCCTTCCAATGAGCATCCGTAAGTATTTGGAGAAATTGGTTTAACCTGTTAACCGCATAAGTGATGTCAGGCCTTGTATGAGCCAAGTATTGAAGACCCCCAGTGGCACTTCTATACAGTGTTGGATCTTCCATAGCTTGTGCACTATTTTTGGAGATTAACTTTCCTGCTGCCATGGGAGTCAAGCTTGGTTTGAGGTGATCATAACCGAATTTCTTGAGTAGACCAGCTGCATACTGAGATTGGGTCAAGTAGAGCCCTGCAGTATCTCTGTGAACTTCCATACCCAGAAACTGATTTAGATTCCCCAAGTCTTTTAGGGCAAAACAAGTATTTAGATTGTCAATAATCTCCTGAAGCCTTAGCTTGTTATTCCCTGTTATAATTATATCATCCACATACACTAATATATAAAACACATCTCCATTTTCAACTGAGAAAAATAATGAGCTATCTGCCTTGGACTGATTAAATTTCCACTTCAGCAAGGTGTTTCTCAATTCCTCATGCCAGGCTCTTGGAGCCTGTTTTAACCCATATAGTGCCTTTTCTAACTTGCACACGAAATTTGGACTTTCCTCATTCACAAAACCTTGTGGCTGATGCATGTAAACTGTTTCACTAAGTTTTCTATTCAAAAAAGCGTTGTTCACATCGACTTGCCTAATGTGCCAGTCTCTTGAAACCGCCAGTGTTAAGATAATTTTTAAGGTTGATGCCTTGATCACAGGACTGAATGTTTCCCCGTAGTCTACTCCAGGGGTTTGAAGGAACCCCTTGGCTACCAGCCTCGCCTTATGCCTCTGCACTTCACCTTCAAAATTGAACTTCAGTCTGAACACCCACTTACTTCCAATTATCTTCATTCTAGGTTCAATTGGTACCAATGTCCAAGTATTGTTTTGCATCAATGCATTATCATCATCCTCCATGGCCCTTTTCCAGGCATTGCTTTGCAGTGCATCACTCACAGTTAATGGTTCAATTTTCGCCAGTTTGTCCTGTGCCTGACTTGTGTAAACTTTTGGCTTGAATATCCCAACCTTGCTCCTAGTAATCATGTGATGCCTAGTAACTTGAGTTGTACCATCAACATTGGGTTTATTCCTTTCAACTTTTGTCTTAGGTTCACCTTGATAAATGCTAACAGTCTCATGACCTGTTGGTTCATCTTGATGCATTGAGGCATCATTATTTTCTTCATTCATCTCACCCTCCACTTGTGGATCTAATTCAGCACCAGGGAGGTCTGCTTCAGGTGGTGTACATGAATGAGTTATACCAGCTGCAATTTGAGGTATAATTATGTTGCTAGACTCAATGTTAAAAGGCAGATGACTCAGAGAGATTTCAGAAGTTTGTGAGTTGGAAAGTTTGTTCATGAAGCTAGACTTAAAGGGGAAGATCAGTTCATTAAATACTACATGTCTGGAGATATAGACTCCGCCTCTGAAATTTAGACACTTAAAACCCTTGTGCGAATCACCAAAGCTAAGGAACACACATTTTTTAGAGTGGAAACTGAGTTTGTGCCTCTGATATGGTCTAAGATAGGGGTAGTAGGCACAACCGAATATTTTAAGTGATTTATAATCAAATTCCTTTCCATATAACACTCTGAAAGGTGACTGATGTTTGAGTATTGGAGTGGGTAGTCTATTAATCAGGTAGGTTGCAAATTTGAAGGATTCCCACCAATAACGTAAAGGCATTTGAGCCTGAGCCAAAAGGGTCAAGCCTGTCTCAGTGATATGTCTGTGTTTCCTCTCAGCCCTCCCGTTTTGGCCAGAAGTGTGAGGACAAGAATACCTAAGTTCAATTCCAGAATCAAGGGCAATTTTGCTGAAACTTCTATACTCACCTCCATAGTCAGATTGTAATACTTTAATTTTCCTTTCAAATAGGTTTTCTACTAGATTTTTAAACTGGATAAACATGTTAAGTGTATCAGATTTATGTTTTAATGGATAGATCCACGTGAACCTGCTATGATCATCAACAAAGATGATATAGTATCTAAAACCAGAGGTAGAGGTCACAGGTATGCACCAAATCCAAAGGTTTTAATGCATGTGAATGGGATATACTGAAGGGTAAAGCATGAGATTTTCCGAACTGACAAGATTCACAAAAAACAGGAATTTCATTATCTTTGGTGAACTCATTACGAGACTTAAGGACTCGACTCAATACAAGATTTGAAGGGTGACCTAATCTTCTATACCATACATTAAGGTCAGACTCTAGAAGCTTGGCACCTTTGATTGACTCAACATGACTGGAGTTCACTGTAAAGCAGGAAAGACTGTTTGTATTAGTTTGAACTGGCTCTTTGGCTGTGAGTTTGGACTTAGATCTTGGCAATGTCAGCTGGTATAAGCCATCCTTAAGCATTCCCTACAGCAGAATCCTCTTGGTTTGGAGATCCTTGACAACACAACAATCAGAATAGAATTCCATGAATACATGATTATCACTTGTAAGCTGAGAAACACTGATTAAATTTTTCTTGATTGCAGGTACATGTAGCAATTTATTAAGTGCAAGAGATTTATCATTTAGTGAAGGGATGTTACCTCTTCCAATATGCGAAATATTAAGGGGATTACCATCACCAACCAGTAATCTTTCATTACCTTCATATTTTCTGATGTAATTCAAATTACCTTTATCAGAAGTGACATGGTTGCTAGCCCCAGAGTCTGCAAACCATGCTTGATCCTCTAGTGTTTTCGACAAGGCTATATATGCAGCATGGGACGAGGCATTGCTCTGGTAGTTTAAGTTACTGGGCCTATTTCCCATGTAACTATCATCATATCGATTGAAACACCAGCTTGCTGTGTGATTATTTAGCCCACAGATTTGGCAAGGCCTCTTGGTTTCATTTGGTCTACCTGCTTTGCCTCTTCCTCTTGTCCTTCCTCTGAAATTCATGGATCTGTTATTGTTAACACCCCTAAAGGTTCTCCCACCTCCTGGATTGGTCCTTTGAGTGAGTTGAACACTCGACTGATTAACATCCAATGAGGTGAAATTGCTTCTGACTTGATCTAGGTACTCAAGTCTACTTTCAAAAGTCATCAGCACCGAAGAGAGTTCATGCCATAAGATATTTTCTCTTTTGTTGATCTGCACAACAATGGGCGTATATTCTTCGTCTAGCCCTGATAGAACTTGAGTTACCAGGTCACAGTGATCAACAGCCTTCCCAGCTATCTGCAGATTATCTGCCAGCAGTTTGATTGAACTGAGGTATTGATCCATCGTCATAGAACCTTTTCTTGTCCTTTGCAACTCTCCAGTAAGGAACACAACTCTCGACCTGTTTAGTATACCGTAGCTTTCCTCAACAGCAATCCACAATGTGTTTGAACTAGTGCAGCCCATGACCCTCATTGCAATTTCAGGTGTCATGGAGGAATATAACCAACCCATTAGTAGCTGATCAGCTGACATCCACATGTTGTACTCAGGATCTTGCACCATCTCCGCTGCCTCTCCTCCACTCAAAGTGGTTTGAATAGCCAGAAACTCAGGTGGGCAGCTCTTAGAAAGCCTTCAAGATTATGCCCTTTGATCATAGGCATAATCATGTTTTTCCATAGAAGGTAATTGTTTCTGTCGAGTTTCACAGGTGGAGTTTGGGTAAGGGTTATTCCAAATTGTGAGATTTGATTTACACCAGGTTGAGTGGATGGTGAGCAGCTTGGAGTGGACTGATTACTAGTGTCCGCGTTAGCCATCTTGCTCTGATACCAAGTCTGAAAACGTGATTTTATCAAATAAATTCAAGAGCTATATTTCTCATGTACAACACTTACATTTATACACAGAGAACCTATACATACTATTGCATACACAAGGGGAATATTCCAATTCAAACGGTAATAGACAGGCGGCATAACGCCAATATTCCATTCCTGAATATCAGCATTGGTGCTGCCTTCTCAGTGAATTCTGTTATGCAATGCTGGCATTCTCACGTTGATTGAATAATTCCAACACATCTCAACCAAAATTGAAGATTTGAAATGAAGTTCATATGTTGAGGGCTTCACAGCTTTACCAAGGAACAAGTTCCCGACTTGGGGATACAAACAGAGTATCTTCATCGAGGCAATGGAAACATCAATATGGAATAAGGAAATACAGTTTGTAATTGTGCCGTAAGTATTACACGTTTTTTTTATATGTAAATAAATTTACAAGAGTATATTTCGAGCATCCTGTGATTCTTGTATTTCTATCAAAAACTAATGTTTCCAAAATCCACTTTATAGATTCTTGCATATGAAATTACATACAGAGAAAGTTCTCAACAAAGAAACATTCAAAGTTAACACAGCTGACACAGCACGTATGAATAACGCTACAACATTTCTAAAAAGGAGGATTAGCTGATATGGTAAGACTAGCATCTTGTAAGCCACCGGGAAAATCAAATCCTGACATGAAATCATCACCGAATATCATGGCACCAGCGGCTAATGCTCCTGCTCCTACCCCCATTCCAAAACCAGGTCCACCCCTTCCTGTTCCTGGTGGTCTTGCTGAAGAAGGCATATTTACAAAACTGGATGGCACATTATTTGTTCTTGGGAGGAATGTCGGTATGTAACCAACATTAGAAGGAGGTGGTGGTGGTGGTGGTGGTGCTGGAGTTAGAGGTGGTTGATAGCTAGGTCCTCTGACCGGTTGATAGCTAGGTCCACCGACTGGTGGATAGTTTGGTGGCTGTGAATAATTTGTAGGAATTGGTTGATAGCTAGGTCCACCGACTGGTGCATAGTTTGGTGGCTGGGAATAATTTGTAGGAAATGGCATTGGATGGGCATATTGGCTATTTGTCAGTGGATGGTTTGCTAGTTGCTGAGGTTGTGTCTGCGGCAGTTGTGGCTGGTAATCTCCTTGAGTTCCATATCGACTAACCAGTTTAATGCCGCCACTATGATCCATGAAATTATACTCTTCCTGCCCACCTGAAAAAAATTAAAAAAATTAATATCATACATCCAGTGCTAAGAAAGATAAGTTACTAGAAAGAATTACCTAGAGAAGATGAACCGGGGTCTTTCATTTCCTCTGATATTTGAATTGAGATATCAACAAATCCTTGAGGTTTGTTGGAGTTCTTTTTTCTTAGCTGAAAACTCCCTACTTCTTCAACGGGCTTTCGAACCTCGGAATCACTAATGTATTTGTCCATAAATTCTTTCAAACCAATAGTTGCAGTTCCCAGGAGGCTTTGCCTAAGAAAGATTGGCTCTCTACTATAAACTTCAACATGAACAGCCAAATCTCGAAAGTTTGGTTCGGAAGTGTCAACTGCAATTGAAAATTTGGTTTTCCAAACTGGATTGTTGTTTCCTGAAGCATCGATCTTGGTGCAATACTGGTCTTTAGGATCGATCCATCCAACTGCAAACCATTGTAGCTTCCAAAGGGCCGACGTGCGCTGGAGTCCCCGACCAGAAATTAAGCAGATCTCAACCCATATTTTCCCCATCTCAGGCAACCTTCAGCTGTGTAATCAACAAGTAGTGGCAAAAGAATTTGTCCCATGTAAGGTCCTTTTCTTGATTGTAAAGTCAATAAAGGAGACTAAAGGTGTCTCCTACTTTGCATAATAACAGGTGGCTACATTGCTTTATACCAAGGAAATTATTTGTTGAGTAGTGTTATAGAGAAGCTTTATCATCTTTTTCTACAGAGCGACCCATTAGTGCATCAAAAGTGGAAAGATATCAGAGTGCAAATAGTCAAAGTTCCACAGTATAGAGTAGACAATACAATATGAACAAGATATTAACTTGTTTTGATGTTGTTCAGCATTGTACCGTCCAGCGCTACATACTAGCTAAAAGTGCATCTCGAATGAACTACTCTATTGACAATTGGGCATAAAAATAGCAAATTATTCACGTAGGCCTAGTATTTTTACTTTCATGTCTTTCACATTCGACTAAATTCTGAAGATGAAATCTTGATCGGCCAAATACTCATCAAAGCAGCATCTTCCATGCACCCCTTTTCTCAAGGTCGGAATACGATAGCATCACGACGTGGTATCGTAATTAGGAATTGAATAACATATTATGATTTTAAGAGCTTTCTTGAGGGGGGGACTAGCAGTTGCTCTCTACCAACATATAGTCTTCTCATTTATGGAATGGCTAGAATTCCTCATGTACATTATTGTAGTCGATCCCAATATATGATCTCCAAATCCACACGGTCTAAAAGAGTAACCTGTGGAGAATGCAAGGCTAAGAAAACTGGCAGCACAGGCAAGACAAGCGAAATATTCATGCTTATTTTTAAAGATAAAGAGTGATGATAAAGATGATAACTTGCAATGCATATGGGTTTTACAAATTCGAGGCAATGGATGTAAATGTGAAACATAAAACGAAATCATAGTCTACAAGACTCATCGCTTTTAAGTAGCCATCAGCTTTCCTTGGTAGTCAAAATAGATTATTAAATAAGGAATGAGACGGAGACACAGGATAAACAAGCATCCAACAGACCAACACCCAAAAGTTGTCCTGCATAGGTCTTCCACGAAATCCCCCAATAACTGAGGTAAACAATGCAGAAATGCTAGGTTGTTTAGTCAGAATATATTTTTCAACGATTCTATTAGTCATGGTACCAGTATCCTTTGGGAACAAAGAACTTGACTAAACGGGAGAATCAATCAATGGTCCCAGGTGTCAAGCCACTGCTGGATAACTTCAAAGACGAGAAGAAGGACTCTTATAACATAAACTAATGTTACAGGCATCATCGAGAGGGACAAGATCTCGAGAATAATCTATAAGCATCAATCTCATATATGTTCATGTTCCGCAGGACTAAGCTATGGCCTTCCCACTCGTTCCAAGAAAGGTAAAAGTTCATTTCAAGATTAGTCTGCTCAAACGAGCCACCATCTTGCGGGGGCATGTTAAGGGATAAAAATCTCACATCGAATAAAGATGGAAATATAGATCAACTAATAAAGGATTGTGTTACTCTTCTTAATAAGGTTGACCTTTTAAGATGGAATCTCAATTCTTAACGTGGTATCAGAGCCCATTAAATTGTAACGAGCAATTCGATTCTATTAAAATTTCAAAAGTGAGCAGACAGATTTCAAGAATGGTATGCTCAAGCAAGCCACCATCTTGCGGGGTATGTTAAGGGATAGAATCCCATATCGAATAAAGATGTAAACATAAACCAATTTATAAAGAATTGAGTTACTCCTCTTAATAAGGTTGATATTTTAAGATGAAACCTCAATTCTTAACATGGTATTAGAGCCCATTAAGCTCAACGAGCAATTCGATCCTGTTAAGACTCTAAAAAGTGAGCATACGGATTTCAAGATTGGTCTGCTCAAACGAGCAACCATCTTTCGAGGGCATGTTGAGAGATAAAAATCTCACATCGAATAAAGATGAAAACATAAATCAAATTATAAAGAATTGTGTTACTCCTCTTAATAAGGTTGACCTTTTAAGATGGAATCTCAATTCTTAACATGGTATCAGAGCCCGTTAAACTCTAACGAGAAATTCGATCTGATTAAGACTCCAAAAGTGAGCATACGAATTTCAAGATTGGTTTGCTCAAACGAGCCATCATCTTGTGAGGCATGTTAAGGGATAGAATCTCACATCGAATAAAGATGAAAATATAGAACAATTTATAAGGGTTTGGGCTACTCCTCTTAATAAAGTTGACCTTTTAAGATGGAACCACAAATCTTTCCCAAATCTTAACAAGTTCACCTTTCTTTATTGGAGCAGAAAGCATCTATATAGTATATGTCTCTATTCGTCAGCATTCTATGTCCGAAAGGGAAATTATTAGGCACTATTAATGATTGCATAACAAATGCTGAAAGAAGCTAGTACCTACAAGTCTGTACATATAGATATGTTAGGCATGCAATTCTCGACAAGATTGGAAATGCATTGAAGATATGAACTTGGTTTTCTTGTTTAGGCCCTGTTTGGGAGGGATTAGATTTTTCTACAGTAAATCAATTTTTATTTTCAACCACACATTCTTCAATAAAATAATATTTTTCATCACATCAATAATTTTTTCTTCTTTTTCAACCACACATTTCCCATCATATCACTATTCAAAATCAATTCTTCCCCAAAAAATCTCTCCCAAACAAACTCTTAATATTGTCCTGTCCCTTTTACTAAACATGCAAATAATTGTTACTTTTTTCTTGAAATTCCCAATTGTAATAGATAATATCTATTAATCAATGACACCAGCCTTGCAATTCTCTGAACTATCATTCGGCCAATTCCTCTACTTTGTAGTGTAGGAAGAACTTGCAAGACTGAAACACAAAAATATAAACTTCTACATAAGATATATTTCTTGTCAAAAACTATCAACACAAAAGTAATAAAGAAAAACGAAGCAGAATATAATCAATAAAAGCATACATATTCTCATAAGCACGTATCTTGGCATTTACTGATGTATCTTCCTTTTAAACAACTTTTCTTCTTCTTATTCTTCTTTTTTTTTTTCCTTTTTAGTGCAAAACTACAACATGCAGTCATATTTTATCATAAAATTGTACAAGAACTTAATCACAAATCACAACTAAAGAGGCTCTGATTCACAAGATTGGCACGGTCTCGGTGGAACAAGTCAAAAGAGGGAGAATAGATTTAACTAACATTGGCATGTTGTAGTTATTAAGGATATAATCTTCCAACAATCTAGGAAGGACAAATAACTAGAAAATTATATGCATACCTGACCTCAAATTCATTGACAACATTGCTTAATTTGCTATTGTTGTTTATGTACAACCACTACAACTTCAATCCATCATGGAAGTGGGTGGGTTTTTTTGTGCAATAACTTCCCTCAAATAACCAAATGGGAAGTTATCTAGACAATTAATTAATCCACCATTTAAACTTTAAATTTAATTAACTTTATATTGACCATGTGGGCCACAAATGGTTTACATTCTCCCACTTGGTCTACATGTTCAATGGTTAACTTCAAGTGGGTACTTAATATGGCTATATGTTGAAACTGTTAATAACCTACTCAAGTAGAAATTCACAATACTTGAATAATGACGGTTCTGTTTTAATAATCAAACATTTCCTTCCATGTATTACAAGTATGATTCTAGAGAGTACTTTACTTTATGAATGAACTTCCTATAAGTCATTCATGGTTCAAATTATAATAACCACAATGGATATCAAAATTACAAACTTTAAGTGTACTAATAACATTGTTTCAAAATAAAAACAAAAATCTTAAAACCAAACATCAGAGTATCATACTGAGCACGCAAGTCCCATATTTTCAACATGAGCTTTATAAACTTTAGCTGACAAGCCCTTAGTCATGGGATCTGCAATCATAAGATCTGTCTTAATATTGCAATGGCTACTTCATTTCTCTTTATATGATCTCTGACAACCAGATATTTCGACTTCCACTTTTGTTATTTCTTGAAAAGAAAATTACTGCCAAATTATCGCAATAAATCTTCAAAAGCGTCTCTATATTATCAACAACTCTTAAGCTTTTGACAAAATTTCTCAACCATAATATGCCTGTGTTGTAGCTTCATAGCAACCAATGAATTATGCTTCCATAGACGATGCAATTATAGTCTGCTTGCTACTTCTCTAAGAGACAACTCCTCCAACTAGAAGAAAAATGTATCCTGAAGTAGACTTTCTTGTGTCTACACATCCGGCAAAATTTGAATCCGTATATCCAACAATTTCAAGATTGTTGGAATACTTGATATCTACCTAGTACACCAATCGCAAATGCAATGTTAGGTCTAGTATAGACTTGTGCATACATCAAACTGCGAACAGCGGAAGCATAGGGTATATAAGCCATGTGCTCTCTTTCCAATTCATTTAATGCATTGATTCTGACTGAATTTATCACCTTTAACGATGGGTGTTAAACTTGATGCACAGTCTTTCATCCTGAATCTTTCCAAAAACTTTCCAACGCACACCTTCTGAGACAATCCTAATAACCTTTTAGATATGTCTTTTTGAATCTCTATGCCAATGACATAAGAGGCTTCACCCATATCCTTCATTTCAAAATTTTGGCTTCGAAATTGTTTTATGTCATGTAGCAATCCCAAATCACTACTTACACGTAAAATATCATCAACATATAGGACTGAAAAATGTATTTGCTCCCACTGACTTTAAGATATATACACTGGTCAATGATATTTTCTGTAAAACCATATGAAGTAACAACATTGTGAAACTTCAAATACCACTGACGGGAAGCCTGTTTTAGCCCATATATAGATTTCCTTAATTTGCAAACCATGTGATTACCTTTATCACTAGTAAATCCTTCAAGCTGTTTCATGTATACTTCTTCTTCAAGATCTCCATTCAAGAATGCTGTTTTCACATCCATCTGATATAGCTCCAGATCAAAATGAACTACTAAAGCCATTATAATTCTAAATGAATC